GTGAGGGAGAGGAGGGTGGCTGCTTCTGCTACCCGTTCGTCAACCCGGACTGCTTCCTCGCCGATCAGCCTGGCCGCTGCCCGTTGCACGGGGAGCTCACGGGGTGTGCGCCTGGGGAGATGGTGGCGTGGAGGGACCATGAGGAAGGAGGGATGGTGGACGAGTTGGGGCTGGTGGGGCTGGGGATGGGGATGGGGATGGGAATGGGGCTGGAGCTGGAGCTGGAGCTGGAGTGGGAGCTGGAGCTGCAGTTGCAGTTGCAGTTGGAGTGGGAGCTCAAGGTGGAGAGGGGGAGGGAGAGGGTCGAGGAGTGGCTGGAGGGCTGTGTGGGGGGTGTCGCGCGGGGCTTTGAACGCGTGAGGGCGGACCGGGAGAATTGGACGACGAGCCTCCGGAGGGGTGGCGGCGAGGGGTCAGGTGACGGGGATGCGGGGGATGCGGGGGATGCGGGGGATGCGGGGGATGCGGGGGATGCGGGGGATGCGGACGGGGGCTGGTTCTGAAATGGAAGAGGAAAGGGCGTACGCGGGGTTTCATCTAATCTGTATTGCTAATCTGTAGCTAACTCGTGATGGGGAGGGTAATCTAGGACGGGGGGAGGATAGGATACCGGTAGGATCGGATCGCGTTGAGCTACCGGTACCTTTGTCTGGCATGGCTTGGGACCGAGACTCTCTTTACAGTACGGATGTGGAGAGGAGGCGGAGCGGCGCTGGCCGTTGGGAATTAAAGTAATCCGTCACGTGTGCTCCTGTTTTGTGATTGCATCAATCGGCATCGGCGGAGGAGGAGGAGAGCTTGAAGTCTAGTATGTACGGGTGTGTGTGTGTGTGTGTGTGTGTGTGTGTGTGTGTGTGTTTCTTTTCTGTGTAACCTGTTTTAGTGTTGAGAAAGGGATGATTCACAACGCCCTCTGGGTTTCTCATAGCTCGCTCGGGGTTTGAAATCATATACATACATACATACCTATACATACCGTACATACATACATACATACATACATACATACCTATACATACCGTACATACATACATCCATACATCCATACATACATCCATACATCCATACATACATACATACATCCATGTAAGCGAGAGAGTCAAGCAGCAAATTCAGCCCATACTCGCACCAACCAACACCCGCTGTTCAAACGGCCGTCGTCAAAAATCCTACTCGAGAGAAGCATACCTCGTAAACACACAGCAAGCAAGCAGATTTAAATTTCTCCGCACTAGCAGACCGCCGCTAAGGGAAAAGAAAAGAAGGAACAAAAGATCACATCTGCAAGTCTCCTTCTCGTTTTTATTTTCTGATTTTCATTTTCATTTTCATTTTCCCTTCCCTTCCCTTCCTCTTTCCCTCCTTCCCTTTCGTATTTCGAAAAAAAAAAAAAANAAAAAAAAAAACGACTCTCTCTGTCTAGCGAAACCAACCAGCCAAAACAAAGACACCTAAGCGAATACCTACCTAAGCATTCGAAAACCTAGCTTACCTCTACCAGCTCAGCTCAGCTCAGCTCAGCTTAGCTTAGCTTACTAACCCATAAAGCAAGCACATCTGTATACCGATACCGAGACCGAGACCGCCACCGTAATAACCCCGTCTAGATGCAGAGCCCTCTTCGATAAGTAAGTACGGTACGGTATACTCACGTATCTACTCCCGACGCGAAACGCAATTCTCTAAATTCTTCAGAATCTAAATCTAAGTCTAAATCTAAATCTCAGTCTAAGTATAAATCTAGACTTATATTTATCTAAGTACAAGCACGAGTTATCATCTCGTCAACTATGCACCGGTATGCACCGGTATAAGTACTTACCTTACCTATCTATCAAACCGACCCTGTCCCTCTTGCATATTTTATCTATCTATCTATCTTATCTATCTATCTATTAATCCATCCATCTACATACAGTATCACCGTATCTCGATACGTACGTACGTACGTCGAAATCCGAAATTCCAACCTCTCCCTCCCAACCGCCCCCCTTCCAGCCAGCCCCCTAGCCCCTCCAGACCCTTCCCCCAAAAAAGATCCTCGGCCGATTTGACGCCCGTCGCACTTTATTCGCATTATCATGGGATAGGTACCTGTTCCTGCGCGTGATAGGTAGACCGGTATACGTATACGTACCGTGCGTGCGTACTTACGTACCTACGTACCGTACGTGCGTACCTACCTACGTACCTACGTACCTACCGTGCGTACATATACAACCGGAAAATCCGAATCACCATGACCCCCCCCCTCCCCACCCGCCTCCCCGCTCGGTCGGACTTCCAGCCGCCGGATCGCACGTATCTTATTAGCTAGCTAGGCTAGCTGGGCCCTAACGCAGTAGAGTATAGTATAGTAGCTACAGTACAGTACTTACTTTATGCATACCTACGTACGTACCTACTTACCTACCGGTAGATAGATAGATAGATAGATAGATAGATAGAGTATAGCGATGATGACGTAGCTGGGAGCTTGCGGGAGGAAAGCTAGAAAGCTACCTTACTTACTTACTTACTTACGTACATAAGAGCAAAGAGGATTATTTTCCCGAATGGAGAGGAAGAGGGATAGGTACGGTAGTCAGTCTGATTATATAGGTACCGGTAGTCGGATGGAAGTGGGGGCCGAGATGGTAATATCATAGCATTGCATAGCTTAGCTTATCATAGCTTATCATAGCACAGCACAGCACAGCATAGCTCGCGGGGAAAAGAAAGAAAGGAAAAGGAAGGAAAGGAGGGTTCGATAGAGGAGATACGTACCTAGGTAACCTATCCTTACGTACATATATACGAACATACATACATACGAACATACACACACCTCTGCAGACCAAGGCCCGCGACAGTACAGTATACCTAGACAAGCAGCCATGGCGAAAGCCTCATCGAACGTACGTCTTTCCTCCTCCTCCTCCTCCTCTTCCTCAGACAACGAACGCCCAGCTCGTCATCCCCCCTCCCCCCTTTGTCTCTCTCTCTCTCTCTCTCTCTCGTCGGTGAAAGAAAAAAGAAAAGAAGAAAACAAAAACAAAAACAAAAACAAAAAACAAAAAGAAAAAAAAAGGCAGCTAAGTTAATTACCACCGACACAGGCCGACGTGTGCCTCTACCTCCTCGCCATCCTCCTCCCCTTCGTCTCGGTCTTCCTGAAGCGCGGTTGCAGCGCCGACGTCCTGATCAATATCCTGCTCTGCGTTCTGGGCTGGATCCCTGGCGTGATCCGTTAGTTAGCTCTGCTCTCTTGTGCTCTCTTCTGCTCTGCTCTCTTCTGCTCTGCTCGCTCTGCTCGCTCTGCTCGCTCTGCTCGTCTCTCCTCTCCTCCACCCCGCCGACGTCTCAGAAGAGTCGGGATGTGGGGGGATGGTTATCTCTCTATCGATGGCCGCGGCCGGTGCTGACTGTGTGTGTGATGGTGGCAGACGCGTGGTATGTCATTGGGAAGCATGATCCGGCGAACTACTAGACGCCGTTCCGCGGGTGCGTAGAGGCTGGGCTGGACGGGGGCGCGTGGAGGGGTGTATATCGGTATACCTATGTATATAGACACACATACGTGTGTGATGACCCTGGGAGGGCCGAGTGGGATGGTACCACGGGGGACCGTGTGAATAGGGAGGAGTAACAGCTCGCTCCATGCCAATGTCATGGTCCCAAACCAGTAGCTTCTCGAACCGTAGGAGGGCTCGAGTATTGCAAAGTCGGCTGGTTCAAGACCAGGAGCAAGCAAGCATGGATAGCTTCTTCAAACACGCGTATCACACGCATCACCGCAAGAGCAGCAGCTCCCCTCAATAACTATCTATATAAAAAACCAAATCCTCGATCCGCAGCTTGGGTGCACTCTCCGATCGGTCAGCCTCCCTTCTAACCCAACCCATCCCAACCCAAGCCAACCCAAGCCAACCCATCCCAACCCATCCCCCCATCCATCCTACGAACCCCCCACAATCTCCCCAGCGTACTGCAGCGGCTGGACGTCGCAGTAATTCGGGATGTCGCCCAGCACCTTCGCGGCGTCGGGCCCGCCAAAGGCCGCCTGCATCTTCGCGGCGCTCTCGAAGTACAGGATGCACTTGGTCACGTTGCCGCTGGCCGGATCCAGCTGGACGACCTCCCACTTCTGCAGGCCGCAGCCGGCCCAGGTCGCCTGCACCATGGGCATGTGGGAGGTGAGGTAGTAGTTCATGTCGAACTCCTTGGTCCCCTTGGGGTAGACGAGGGTGAGGATCGCGGTCATTTCCGCTGCTCGCGGGTGGTGGTGGTGGTGGTGGTGGTATTAGATGGGTGCCGCTTCGCGTGGTCTGGAAGATGTGAAGGTGAGCGCTGAGCGGGTGTTGGTAGAGACAAGAAGGGGAGTGAGTACCGACCGTACTTCTTTCCCTCGGGAGTGTCTGTGGTTGAGGCGTTTGCTGCGACGGAATTATGGAGATGAGGCGCGAGCGAGCTGGACGAGTGGCCCCGCTTTGGGAGCGGGGTAGGTGTGACGACGACAGCGTGATCTTCCCGAGACTTTCATGCCAATATACTCTCACTCACGTGCTTCACCCTGACGAACGAATGAGAAGGACGGAGCGGGAACCGGTTCGGATTCCCGCTACTTGTACTTATACTTTGTATGCCTAGGCATAGCGTAGCGCTGATCTTTCTCCGGGGTAGCGTGAGCCTTGCTACTACTACTACTATTTATACAGAGTCCGCATGGCAGTCGGCGAGGATTACTGTAGCGACCCGGGATCGACGCAGGGCTATTTCGCTCCTGCTGTTTTGAGAGGGCTCTATCTACTAGGTGCGTCTGCTATATATCGTGCGATAAGGGGCCGTGGGCGGGGTTGCAAAATCTCTGAAGATGAAGAGGAGAGAAACGAAGCGGAGCTGCAGGTAGATAGATATACCTGTAGCTGGCAGTCCTCAGTTTATAACGTGACCGTACTCCGAAGCGTGGGAGGAACAGAGGGGGTTCGTTACGGAATCAACCCCATTATCAACAAGTCTCGGAGCCGAGCTAACTCAAAATGAGTCGCTACTGAGTTAACACTACAATTAGTTATCTGAGTTAATCAGTCAACTGAGTTAATCAGTTATCTCAGCTTGATTCGCTACAAAACGCCTCAGCTTGCGCTCCGAAAAGACAGATCAAGGGTCGGGCACAGAGTCAACCTCAAACCAGAGGTAAACTAAGTCGACTAGAGTATTCGCAGGTCGAAATAGCCCATCAAGAATACTACGCACGTCGGCAGGTTAGTGATCGTTACGTTTTGAAACCGTCTAGCTTATCATAATGTCATAAGCGTAACTGTGATCTTCTGAAGGTAAGGTAACCGGCGGGCTCTGGGTGGAGATTTAGACTTTTAAAGCACCTTTGAGCTGTAACAACTAGGCCTGTATCGCAGGAACTTCCTAGCCGTAGCGCTGACTCTATCTCTAAGATACGTAGCAACTGAGTGGGTTAAGGTGCCGTTTGGTTCACCGCCAGTACGTCGACACTTTCTGAAGTACTGGGTTTGTAAAAAACTCTTGTAGTAGTACTTGGTATCTGTAATATAGTACATACTATACATACCGACAAATTTAAGACGACCGTTCGTTTTAAGGAAATCCGTCGAACCCGTAGAAGATTTTGGCCCCGCATTTCTCCGACATTTCCAGCGTCATGATTTTCCACAGTATGATCTGATATCCACGAACTCTAAGTAAAAATAGATCCGAGATTCTTAACCACCGCCCCTACACTGCAAGGCTGCCGACAGCCTACCGAAAGTCCGGGGCTTGGCTCCCGGACGCGCTCACCTACCGGTACTGACGGCACCGTCAGCGCAGAAGAGTATCCGCAGGTCGGAGAAAGGCAATACACGTACAAGAAGAATACCGGTACCACGCCGGTCGGCAAGTCAGCGGTCGCGAACCCCTGAGACCGTCCAGCTTGCGTATTATTACTGTACAACCCAAACGGGCCAGCGATTCCCCACGCCGCGAAAACAGTGGAGCCTGAGTCCCCGCGCCTTAATACGTAGTAGGTAGGTAGCTACTTGAAACTTGAATCCCGCTCTAGACCAGCCAGCCTCTTCCCCTCTGCACGCACGGTACCATCGAATAGCCGGGCCGTGCCGTAGGGCGCAGAACCGGCGATCGGAGGGAAACGAGTGGGAGGAGACGAAGCTGATCGCCAAATGTCAATCTATTGCACGAGATCGCGAGAGGACGTGCCTGCCCCCCTTGAAGGAGAGGCGGGCCCAGGTTAGCTCTCTCAATGGTACTATCCGGTACTAGAGCGGTGGTTTCTGCATGGCTCGGAGCCTTGTCCGCTCGACTGCACAGACTAAATGTTGTACTGTACGTGCTTGAAGAATCCCTTTCAGGGCTGAATCGCTTCAGGTTAGCCGGCGCACGCCTTGCCCTTGCCAGATTATACTTTCGTTTGTGATTTCAGAGAGGGGCTCTATGTAGATGTTGGAACATACTACTAGCCGATCAAACGCAGATTTCTTTTTGTTCCTATGTATAGCCAGCTTAAAATAGTTTACGCTACATCAGTTGAGATACTACGTACCTAGCAGTACGTAGTAAACTACTACTACGGCGTCGCAGGCGTAACTGTTACACCCTTGAGGGTAAGGTAGGGTAGCCAGGGGCTTGAAAGTGGAAATCTAAACTTGGGAGGCAGCCTTACGCGTGTAACAACGACGCCTGTACCGTGGGTAATAATACGATGATTCCATCTCGGAAATCCATTTGCGCCATCTAACCAAATTGACGAAAAAGTAGAGAGAGATAACTCAGTCATTACAGTCCCGCCTCGACGCATGAATACAGGTGCAAATGACAATCTAGCCTCGTCTATCGTGAAGCGGTGTGGTTTGTCAGTGGCTCCAAGCCATATCCCACTCTGCTTACTTACCAGTGAAACCAAGAACTCGCACGAAGAAGATTTACAAGGCTGGATCCTTAGCAACTGATCGATTCAAGGCCGGGCCAGAGCCCTTGCAAAATTTGATCTTGCACGTGTATTCATGCAAAAACGGGGGGGGGGGATGGTTCGCCGGTAGCGAAAGTTCATCACCAACCACGTAGCGTGCAGCGCACGTCGCCTCTTGCAACTGCAACTCCTTTCGGGGAAAGTGGTTGGTATGCGATTCCTGTCTGCGCCCCAGGGTCCAGGGGAGTGGATTCCTTCTAGTGCACGAGGAGAAGGAATCCGTAAAGCTAGCCATCTAAATAGTATTTACAAGGAGGTTGGGGCCCCTGGACCCGTATGCCCGCATCAGCCAGCTCATCCCGTAACCGAGCAGGCCGAGCCTGCCGTTCCCCAGCCGAGCCGGGTCGACGTTGATGTACCTACCGACAGGGGACGGAGGGGGGGGACTGCGAACAACAAGTTCTGTCGACTCAGCTCGGAGATGCCTCTATTTGCAACGAAGAAGCGAAACGCTGTACGTAATGAATCCAACCTGATAGTACTTTTTAAAGTTTCTCGAATAAATATTTAAATGATCGGGAAATCTATTCACAACAGCAATCTCTCTCTCCATCCATCTCTCTATCTATCATTCTATCTATCCAACCAATAACTAGCTCAAGCAAACCAGTCTCTATTATTCTATCAAGATGATGTTCATTAACGCTTTCGCCGCCGCTATCACTCTCATCTCTCCTGCGGTCTTCGCAGCTCCTCAAATCCCTCAAGATTTACTTAAGATCAAGCTATGCCAGGATCCCGACCTTGGTGGTCTTTGCCTCGAGCCTGTTGCTCGAGTCGCCACTTGTGGTAAGACCTCCCTCTCTTGGTTTTCAAAAAGAAAAAGAAAAAAAAAAAAAAAAAAAAAAAAAAAGGGAACAAAAGCTTACTCTAGTAAAAGAAAACATCGATCCCACCTATGACGACAAGGTCACGTCTTTCGATACCCGCGGCAGAATATGCACCTTTTACCTGTAAGATCCCCCTTCCCTTTCTACGAATTACACTTCAGACGACTAACAAACCATTGAAACAGCGAGGCCGATTGCTACGCAGCAACGGAGTACTCTTACGACGGCACGATGAATGACCTGCTCAAGAGCGAGAGGCCCGGTTTCAATGATGCGATCTCTTCTTACAACTGCCTCTAGCTGCAGCGAAGAGATCCCGGTTGTGGTGAAGGGACTATGGTGATAGTGCGATGACGCAGGCTGCAATGGGTTCCTGGTCCTAGCCGGGTGAGATGGGTTGGTCGTGGTAGTGCTCGGTAGAGGTCACCTGGTGCGGCCTGTTTGCCCTTCTTGAGCTTGCACCTACCATGCTCTCTACTCTACTCTTTGCTAGCAATAAAATACTTGACAGCCTTGACAGAGTCAGGCTCGTTCTTGCTAACCTTGATGCTTCTTTCTCTTCCGTTTAGCCGTTCCCTAGCCGAGCCGGGTCGACGTTAATATAATCGTCGGTTACCTTGAATATAATTTGTAAAAAATCCCGACCTGGCTGCGGCAAGGCGGGACAGTAACGGTGTACCACTAGGTATTAAACAACAACTATCATTATAAAAAAGGAGAAAAAAAAAATTGATATGCTAAGGAAATTTTGCTTTACAAACGTAAATTAAAATTATAAGAACTCATTTATTTGTAGTAATCTAATACATTGAAATGTAATGAAAAAAATGGTTAAAAACTATCTTAAATAATTCAAATTTACTTGTTTATTGCAAATATCTTAATAGCCATAACTTTAATTCAAAAAAACCGTTAGATAGATCGAAAATAAATGATTTAATATATTATATTGCTTAAGATATTGATTATTAACTCAAAGTTGGTAGTGATGCACGTATTTTTTTGATAGATTGGAATCAAAGTCCGATTTTCGTGTTCTTCGCTTATTCTAATATATACGCGGCAATTCTGATATATACTTAGGTACCTACGCATTACAAAAATCGAAAAGTATATATCAAAAGTACTATTTTTATTACTTTAACTCAACACAATAAAGGAATAACAACTTGTAATTGAAATTCAATTAATCGATTAATATCAAACACAATGCGGCGCATCTTTTGATACAAAGATAAATATTATATAATAGTTGGTTGATTTTTTATTTATTAAAAAGGAGCAAATTTTACTGTCCCGCCTTGCTGGGTGTTCCCGCCTTGGTGGTGCCGACTTGCTACAGCAAGTCGGTTAATTCTTTCGAATTAAAATTTAAGGAGACCGACGATTACCGACAGGGGACGGGCTGTGAATAAGTTCTGTTGTCGACTTAGCTCGAAGATGCCTTTATGTGCAACGAAGAACCGAAATACCGTACGTAATGAAACTAATTTAATAATACTTTAGGTTTCTCGAATAAGTATTTAAATCATCTGGAAATCCATTCACAACATCTATCTATCTCTCTTTCTATCTATCTTTCTATCTATCTACTATCTTTCTATCTATCTATCGATCTATCTATCCAACCAACAACTAGCTCAAGCAATTGATCTATCGATCTATCGATCTATCTATCCAACCAACAACTAGCTCAAGCAATTCATTCTATCAAGATGATGTTCATCAACGCTTTCGCCGCCGCAATTACTCTCCTCTCTCCTGCCGTCCTCGCAGCTCCTCAAATACCCGAGGTGAAACTTAAGATCAGCCTATGCAAGGATGCCGGCAACATGAATTGCTTCGAGCCTGTTGCTCGAGTCAACACTTGTGGTAAGCCCTCCCTCTCTTGCTTTTCCAAGACGAAAGCTTACTCTAGTAAAAGAAAACGTCGAAGCTAAGTATGACGATACGATCACGTCTTTCGATACCCGCGGCAGAATATGCTCCTTTTATATGTAAGATCCCCCCCCCGGCGCCCTCCTCTCCCTTTCTTTGGATTACAATTCAGGCGACTAACAATTGAAACAGCGATCCCGATTGCAGGGAAGCACAATACTTCACTTATCGCGGCTCGTCCTACAGCATAATCCAGAGCGATTGGTCCTCTTTCAATGATGCCATCTCTTCTTTCCTCTGCCTTTAGCTGCCGCGGTCCGACACTCTCTATAAGAGATCCTTGTTGTTGTTCAGGGACCATGGTGATAGTGCGATTACCCAAGCTGCAATGGGCTGCTGGTTTTAGCCGGTTTAAGTTGGCTATAGTGATGCTCGGTAAAGGTCACCTACCGGTAGTGCGGCCTGTTCTCCCTTCTTGAGCTTGCACCCACCATGCTCTCTTCTCTTTGCTAGCAATAAAATACTTCTTGACAGCCTCGACAGAGTCAGGCTAGTTCTTGCCAACCTTGATGCTTCTTTTTCTTCTTTCTAACCGTTTCTCACCTTATCCCTATGACGAACGAACGTGATACACAAGAGGCGCGTTGGGAGGAGCTTTTCATCAGCTATTATGGACGGCATTAGTTAGCCGAAGTTATGTGCTGTTCCGATTCCGCTAGTGCATATCAGACGAAGGCCTTGTACGGTATTGCCATGTCTAACCCCCGGCGGCCCTCCGCCAGCTCCGGCGCCCAAAGACCTCGCTCCGCCCGGTCGTGGTGCACCACTTGCCTCGCGAGGCCTTTTACCATTAACGCTACAGCAATCTCCGACCAGAAATCCGCTGGAAAAGGATGCATATATGTAAAGAACATGCAACGATGCAACGCTTCAGCCCGGCCGCAAAAGCTAAAAACCTACGGCCCTCCGCAAGCTCCGGAGTAAGTTTTCCGGACGTCGCGGGATAAGATTCGTCGCGATCTAATCTACGATAAGATAATAGCTTCTTTTATAGCGATGCAGCTAGCCAGCGAGCTAGCTAGCTACCCCTCGAGCATTTCATCTGTAGCAATACGGTAGGTAGCCCTTTCTCTTCTAGAATACCTCGTTCTTTGCAGCCCGGGGCGGCTAGCCAGCTAATTTTTTTT